ATATAATGAAGTCTTAATATACTACCCTGCAGTATACAAAGTCATTACAACTAGCTGCACCTTTACCAGCTTTGATAACACTTTAATTATTAATCATTATAAAACACATCATATATTATATTATTCTGAAATTGACCAATCTGCAAAATGATTACTTTTACTTTTGGTACTTTAACTATATTTTGATGATAATACTTTTCTACTTTTACTTGAGTCACATTTTGAATGCAGGACTTTTAGTAAAAGTAGACACTTTTTTAGTGTTTTTTACACAAATATGACTCAGCCTCTACCCCAGATCATGACATGTGCCAGGTAGTATACGATTGATGATTGTAATTTGGCTTTGTCAGTTATAAATGCTTTGACACTATTTAAACATGCTTAAACAAGCACACTCCACCCACATGTCAAACCTAAGGCTAATTCACCAGAAAACGTTATCATGAGTCATGTATAATCAGCGTGTCAAAGGCAATACGTGGATGAAACACAGTCATACAGTAGGTTATTACTTAGGCATGTTTGTTGGACAGGAATATCCTGTGCTGATGTTGTAATTTGGTGGTTTCTCATATGTAGTCACCGATAAAACTAGTGGTGGTGAAATATTGGCTAACTCAACATTCTGTATCCAACCATGGATTGTGTATTACAAAATGTAATTTATTCCATACAAGACATAAACACACATTTTATATGGATATTGTGAAGTAAATGTAGCCTGGAATGTTGGCAATGCACGTAAATGCATTATAGGAAAAACATTTAAAACTTGATTGTTCCTTAATGACAGCTATTTGTATCAGGAGGAGAAACATCTGGCAAATTTGAGCTCACAGAGTTTAGAATCTCAGCGTTGACCTCCAGGGCCAAAGGCAGGAAAAAGGTGAGGCAGCCCTGGTGAGCAGCACGTGGTAGGCCTGTCGAAACTGTCTGTTCATGACGGCATAAAGCACGGGGTTAATACAGCTATTGAGCCAGGTGAGGTTTGCACAGAACATGTGCAGTACTTGAGGGGCGCGGTTCTGTTTGTCAGCTATGTTGAGCAACAGGAAGGGGACAAAGCAGAAGACGAAACACAAAAAAACAGTAAAGCACATGCGTGTCACCCGCTTAAATTCATCAGCATCTCCTGAAGTTGCTGAGTTGGAGGAGGGTGCTGCATTGGCGGGAGCAGGTCTGGTTGAAGGTGATGTTTTGACAGTATCAAGGGGTTGCTTAGTTACTGATGGATCTAGAGCCGTCACTTGGGTAGATTTGGAAGGTTTTTCACAGGTGATCTCATCTGTATTTTGAGTTAGATCCGCCTGGCTGCTCATCTCACAGCTACATGTCTTTGCCATGCCACTTTCTACACCACTGTCATCGGTCTCTTGTGTCGAAGAAGCTGGTTTCTTCCTGGAGGATCTGCGGCTGAATCTGTAGCGAAGCAACGCTTGAGACGCAATCATGACACGTCTGTAAATAAGGAGGTAGAAAACACCAACAAAGCCCAGCCCAATGAAAAAGTAAAAAAAGAGCAAGATGGTACTGTAGGGACGACCCCTGGTGCGATGGAAACTGCATGTGCACACCTGTGGCACAAATACGTAAACAGGCCAGAGTGGGCCAAAGCTGGCCAAACCCAGTGCCCACGTTGAGATCAGTAGTAAAATAAGACCACGGCTAGAGAAGACACGCTCAAACAAAGCCCTTTTTGCCACCAGAAGATATCGGCTCACAGCAACTAGGCAGAGGGTGATAATGGAGACAGAGTTGGAGAGGAAGAGGAGCAGGCCGAAGATGCTGCACCAGAGCTCACCACTGCGCCATCTGAGGTGTAGATAGGAGTCGACTGATATGGGCTGCAGTATGGTGCAGTATAGGAGATCAGCTACAGCCAGGTTGAGGATGAGCACGTTGAAGCGAGTCCTCAGACGTGGGTCTAGAGCAAAGGCCAGAATGGTCATCAGGTTCCCCACCGTACCAACGATGGTCACCGCACATCCCCACAGCACGGCAAAGTACCGGTAGCCCACGACTGAAGGACTGTAGCAGGAGAAGAGGTCCTCCTCTGTTTGGTTTGTGTAGTTCATCAGCATTCTGTCAACCAACAAGATTCAGAATACAGGTAATGCTTTTTTGTAGTGTGCCTACAGAAAGTTACACTCGAACAGAAACCAAGTTGTCCCCACCCCTCTTTGAAAAAACAAAAAGGAACTCACAGGCCGTTACTGTGTTCACCACTTCCTTTTAACAAACTTCTCAGTTATTTTAGTTAAGTGAAAATAGCATTACCACAATGAAGAATTACTGCATTTAAATGTTATAAAAGTCCTGCATTTATTATAGAATCATAATATGATATATTATTGGATTGGAATCATTGATGCACTAATGTTTAATTACTTTAATGATGCAGCTGGTAAAGGTGAAGCTTACATTCAAGTTTATTGTAATTATTTGATATATTGCTCAGTAACTTCATATAATATGACATCATGTATAAGGTGATTTATAATGTGTATCAATAAGCTGAATCTGCAAAGTTACAAGTTATTAAAACTGTCAAATAAATGCAGTGAAGTGTTTCTCTGGTATTAAGTCAAAGTATAAAATAGCCCTTAAGGAATGTATAAATAATAAACAATACAATAATACAATGGTCCTGTATTTAAAAGCCCTGTCATTATTTGATATATATCATTATCCTCTTAGCCTATGTTCAAATCACTGCAGTAAATTCTGCACATAACTCAAATAATAAAACATGCCATACAAAAAAGCAAGAATTAGCAACATTGATAAAACAAACAATAACAAATATTTTAAGATATTTTAAATAAATGTATAGATTTATTAAAAATGTATAGTGTAAAGCCTCTTATTATAACATATCATTATACAGGTCTTACCTTAAAGCAGAAGATGTGGCCAGTCTTCTAATTGTGTGTGTGTGTGTGTCATTCTCTGCTGTAATCTGGAGCTCTGAATGTCAGGCTTCCTGCTGGTGTTACATTTTATGTGCATCCTCTGTGTGGCCTAATAACAATCTACCCTCTATTGCACGGTATGAGGTAAGGTTTTTCCAGTTCATAGGTAAATTGGGGAAGAGTAAGTTTGCTAAACATCATTTTCATCAGAATGGAATAACCAAATGTGGAGAAAAAGGGTATCATACTGCATCTAAGTCACTTAAACCTAGGGACTGTATATTCATATATATATATATATATATATATATATATATATATATATATATGGAAAGTACTTATTGTCTGCAATTTCAATGATAAATTAGTGATGGACATATGAGAATAAAGGCTTTAATACACAATTTGACAATTTTTCTGATTCACATAGACGTTTATGTCAAACAGTGGTGGACCAATCTATACCGAACCAAGTGTGAAAATCTAGTCATACGGCAAATACCAAACAAGTACTTTAATGTCAGTGACTTTTTCCTTTTAAGCCACAAAAACAGAACTCAGGTTTTGGTATAATGCTGCTACTCAGTTGTATTGAGATGACAGTGTGTTTTTGTGATGGCTTGATGTGATAAACACATTGTTTGGCGTAGTTGAAATTGTATTAATAAACCTTTACACCCATATCCTATAATTAACCTGCGATTCTCCCCACCAAGTGGAAGTAATGCACCCAATACGGTTTCCTGAACTGTTAATATAGAAGTTAAGACATCTTAAGAGCCACAGTATGGTTAGGGGTTTCCAAAATGAATTGTGATTGTGCACATCAGTAATGTAGACTCCAATTCTTGCAACTTGTCTTTTGTTTAAGAATAATACAAGAAACATAACTTCAACATCCAGGAGTTTTGGATGACAGCGATGTTGAGAAACAGGAAGGGGTAAAAACAGAACACAAAACAAACAGGAACATGCTTAAACATGTGTCACACATTTTATTTTGCTTCTCATCCCCTAAATCTGAGTAAACCAACAGGTTTGCGATGGTGGGAGCAGGTGTTGTTCAAGGTGTTGTTTGAACAATATCAGGGTAACTTTGGAGGGTTCTTCAGAGGTGATGTCTTGTGCTGAAGAAGCTGCTTTCTTTCTTTAGCCCACGACTGAAACACTTTAGCAGGAGAAGAGGTCAACCTCTTTTTGGTTTGTGTGGTTCATTAGCATTTTGTCAACCAACAAGAGTCAGAATATAGGTTAGCTTTTTTGTAGTGTGCTTACGGAAAGTTAAACTCCGACAGAATCACAGCCCATTTTTGAGTGTTCTAGGTGAAAGCAAACTCAGGTTGTCGCAATAGTTGACCACTTCCTTTCGAACAGACATCTCTCTCTGAAAGAAACCTTTGTTTTCAATCCTCATTATGTCTTTTTTGTAAGTTCTGGCATAGCTCAAGAATAGCTTTTTACATTAATCGCACAAAATGTAACTGCACGATAACATATTTTAGGTGTTACCAATTGTGTCAGTTCGCATACATATTAGTAATCTCCTAATACTTTGTGTAAATGATAAACAAGAATAAAGGTATGTTGGGTCAGAAGGGCGTCAGAAGTAGGGGCTCCAAGGGGCTCCAAGGGGCTCCAAGGGGCTCCAAGGGTCCCCTACTTCACCCTTTCCCACATTTCGAACAAGATTAGGTAAAGGGAACGATTTCAAAAATTCCACAAGCTTTGATACTTGCTGTACTTTTGTGTGAAAATGATCACGGCTGGGTTAATAAACAATCAATATATTTACAAATGATATTGTTGGTAAGATCTAATGTTTTGCACTTTGGTGCTCTGACAGTTTCATGATAATCAAATGTAATTTATATTACAACTGTTGTTCGGCAAAAACATATAGAATATTTCGTACTGTATGTCAAAAGTGACTTGAAATAAGTAGTATTCGATTATCACATTACTAAACTACTTGTACAACCAAATACATTTGTGATTTATTGTTATTGTCATATCTCATTACATTTGAAAAACAGAAAATAATTAAAAAAAAATCAACATTGCTTACAATGGTAAACTCAGTTTAATGATTTGATATAGAATTTAGTTTAGTTAACAACAAGTTAACAATTAGGGAGCCCCAACATGTACCTTTTTCATATGTTTTCAATAATCTACAGTTACACTATATGTTTTAATACACTTGTCCTAAATAACAATTCATACATTTGAAGACAATAGTCTTTTTATTGCAGTTAACAAGAAAAGTTAGCAGGAGTGCTTAAAGTATTGCTACTGTTTCCTAAAACGTCCCTCTAATGTTTCACAAACCATCATGATAGTTTCACAGGGATAGATCGGGCTCATGTAGGGTCGGAGCGCACAAGGCAGAGCAGAAAAACGAACAAATGTTAACCCACTACAAGCCTATAATACTACCCAAAATGTTGTGTTTTTTTTTGCATACAACTACTCAGCTGTGTATGTGGCCCTTTTCCGTCTGTAACATATATCTGGTGTCCTTCATCCCCCTTGTTTTGGTGAAAATGTTGTAATTAAATGTGCATATATTGCAAAGACCTGCTACTAAAGTTATTCATCAACCATGTTCCTCCTTTGCTCACAGTGTTGAAACGATCTGATTGAGACACTTAAACCTTTCTGTGATGCGTAGTGTGGTGAAAAAAACATATTGTCATTTTGTTTGAATTTCAGCTGTTTACATTGAGAACTTTCAACACGTATGTGCTTTGTTGGACTTTATGCACATGGTTGTCAGTAGCCATTTAGGGAGAACATGGAGAATCATCTGGAGAGACCGTTACATTGTTGCCTTCACTAAAGAAACTAATAGCATAGGTTTACCTTCTTTTCTCCAAACTTACTGCATTTCACACTGACACTGATATCTGCATATTGCACTTTTTTACTACAACTACGCTTCCCAAAATGTAAATGGGGTTGACATACACATCAGTACAGTTTTAAGACATAATGTAAATTCTTCCCTTTTTCTGTTCCTCTTTTACTTCCTGTTTCTGTTAGGTTAATATACACCACCTGGGACAGCTACGAAAATGTAGACGTACAGTACAGACAAATGTTTACCAGTAACTGCAGCAACAATATGGAAATTATTGGTACCTTTTTGTCTTAACAGGCCACAAAAACAGAACTCTACAGTGGTATATTCCACTATACTGTGACAGATACCAGCTAACATCAGACGCAATGACTATATCTAACCCAGCGGGCATGTTTCTGACAACAATGATGCTTTGGATATGTGATGAATTCTTGCAAAGATTAAAGTGAAAAACATAGGAGAGGTAGGGTTTTGAGACGGATACAGTGGATCATATGCTAGATGAAGATAATGATTTGGTTGCAGATTATCCAGACTCTACTTGATGATTGGCAGATAGTTGATTGATGAAGGAAACTGGGGAGGGTGGAAACATACAGACTCTTTATCATGTCTCTGGTTCTCCCTGTTAACGTAACAGCAGCCGTCTGCAACCGCAGAATGCAACATTAGAGTCATATTTATGTCCGCTGTTTTTATTCTATTGAAACAGCAGCTGCAGCCACAGCAGCTGATTGGCTCTTGATGACACAGGGTTGCAGGCCTCCACTTCACAGTGTGCTTCTTCCTCATTCTACCCCGTTCTCTCACCGTCAGTAAGGAGTGAAGAGGATTGGCCCATGCGTGGTGCGCATGGGGCCAGGGGCGGGTCTCAGCAGGCTGAGGGGGGTTCCCTGTAAGAGGTGGTGGTGGGGGTGGAGGGGGTGGTGGTGGGAGGTTGGGCAAGGGGGACGTAGTGCCAGCTGATTGGAGGAGACTGCGGCTGCCATCGCTGCAGCCAAAGCCAGGGGATTTGGTAAAAGTCCAGCCCCCATTGATTTTGGAAGTTCCTTCAAAAAAGTAATGGGAAAAAAAGGACATTTATTGAGGCATGCAATCATTTTCATAACCTCTAAATGATAGTGTTGGAATATGGAATATGGAATATGTGAGAAAGATCCTCTGAGTTCTTACCATAAAGTCTGTGCGCTTCTTGTGCCGACTGAGAAGGGGATTGGGTTTCCCTGCAATTCCATCCCGATGCCTTCGGCTAGATATATGCTGAAACAAAATGAAAAAGAATGATAAATATAATTGTATTTATTGGGATTGCTAGTGCCATTATAACCACCGTGGTTAACCACTATTCCCTGTGTTTTTGTTTTTAATATTTCTGTTGTAAATTATTGTCTTTTATTGTGATTGTAGTAATGTGTTTTTATTACATGTACAGCACTTTGGCTCGACCAAAAATCGCTTTTAAATGTGCTTTAAATAAAACTTGATTTGATTTGATTTGACCGTGTGGGTTTTTCTCACTTGTTTGAGCTGCAGTTCTGAGTTGACTCTGACATTGCAGATCTCACAGTGGAAGGTGCGTTCCTGAGTGTCGGGGTCAGAAGACAGCTCCCCCCCCTGCTCTGGGCTGAGTTTAGGGCCCAGACGTGGGTATGCTTTAATGGGCCCCAGTCCACTGCGAGCCTCCAGAATGGTTTTGTGTTTGGTACCTTGAAACAATAAAAAAACGGTTTAATCTACAATGGCAATTAAGGGGCGTAACTTTGTAATGCATACACTGAAAACTAAGGCTATTTCAAAGTTAACGTTGACGACTAGACATTAAAGTGCAAAAAAGGAATGACATTTAGGAAAACTACATCAAGTGATATGACAGAGCTCTCCAGAACAGCTACTAAAGGACCTTGTCATGACATTGTTTGCTCAAGCTGTCAATGTTATAAAATATATCCACTTGAGGTATGAGGGTTTTCCTGTTATTGCATTTACTGCTTGTGACAATATATAGTGTAGGTGGTAGGAGGTCAAGTTTTTATGACCACCAATCTAACCATTTAGATCATGCAGTTTTGAACCTATCATTCTCTCCACTAGGTGGTGCTAATGCACCTGGTTTAGCTTTTAGGACTTAAAATGCAGAATACAAGTGCTTTGAAAGAGCCATGCTTCAGGGTTTCTGAAGTTTGTTCTAAAAGTGAATAATACTTAATGCTGTTGTTTGTCGGGATTAATTTATTGCATGTTTGGCATACTCAGTGATGTGATGTTCTTGTGAACATGTTCACTCCTACCTTTGTTATGTGCCTCCAGTTGTGAGAGGGAATTCACAACGACTTTGCACAGGGAACAGTAGAGAAGCTTCTTGGCTTTCTCTTCCTCTGATTCTCCTGAAGAAGGGCTGGGTGCTGGAGACGGGGTGTCGGGAAGACCAGACGCTGCTGGTTCTACTGGGGGGGTACTGAGGAGCGCGGTGGGGGAGAGAGCGGAGGGTAAAAGTGTGCTGACAGAAGGCATGAGGGGACACTCTAGATCTGAGCTTGGTGTTGGTGTTGGAAGGCAGATAGGTGTCAAAGGTGAATTGTTAAAGTTGGGACAGGATAGGATGTCATCTGTAAAAAGCACAATGTTTTCTGATTAGTCAACTATTTGTCCAAAGTCAGCCATATCATTAAGTCTTCAACCCTAATTGTCAAGATATAAAAGTATGAAAACAACAACTTTACAAAAGATTTGCATATTTTCTTATTATAAACTTGGGCCTGGCAAAAATCACATTTGATCATCTGTTATATTTCAAGGCAATCAAATCTTGATGAAATCCTATTTGAAGATATTGTGATACGTAAATACCTTGTGTATCAATAATAACAAGCATATACTAACTCGTATTTCTCAGGAAATATGATGCAAAATATTTTTGAGGAATATAATATGTGTTGCTTTCTGTATGTTACCTAATGTAGTTATTGACCGGAGAACATGCTATATCGAGATGTAGATAGTTTTTGAGATATGAAACTAGCTATACTGGGAAAAAAGATTTTGGCCATTTTACCCATCCCTATTAGAAAGCAGAGCATCAACACTCATCTCTGCTTAGTTTCTATCCTATTACTTCACACAACAGCTGTGCTGTGCATCTGTGCCATTTAGAGACAGATTTGAATGTGTGTGTGTGCGTGTGTGTTTGTGTGTAACTTCATATGTCACAGGTGATGCTCACCCTGCTTATTAGGATCAGGCTCAGGGCTAGATGGTGACATGCCTGGTGGGGAAGGAGATGCAGGGGGAGGGTGCTGCTTGTCGCCATCTTGGAAACGAGATGTTTTGGATGTTTCAATCCCCTTCACCCTCCGAGCATGGCGGTTCCCCTTGTAGTGGGCCTCTGCCTGGCTCTGGTGGAAAAACAAGACATATCTGAGGTAAAATGAAATCCTGGATTTAATTTGGCATGACTTGATTCATGAAAGTGAATCTTCCTCCCTTTTTTCTTTGACACTATGACCTTCAGTTAGAGAGTCATTGAGGTCAATAAAGAGAACCACACTCCAAGTGAGCTCGGTTCCATTAGTAACACTGGTATTAAACATTTTACTTTTTTGTTGCCTTTGACCTTAATAGTTACATTGTTGTGCCATAATTAGTTGTTTGTCTGTTTATTAGTAATTAATCATAACCTTTTCAATTTAATGGATAAACATGGGCTTGATCGTTTTCTATTACCAAAGAGCCTCATCCAATACAGGCAAATGTAACACCAGTTAAACCTTTAATATGTAAGTCCAATATATATATATTTTAAACAAGTGAACAAAGCAGAAAGCACCTACAGTAGATGCAAGAGCTATCCAGTGATGCAAGTGTGGATGTGTTGATAAAGTAGCAGGAAGTGATTTTTGGTTTGATACGAGGGATGCTCAGGAGACTTCAGTGGACTTGTATTAAAGAAAATGTTACTGAACAAACCCATGTCTTTTTTGTCCCATGGATACTCCAATAATTCCTCACAAATTACGGCACTCTGTGTTGGGATCAGGGGAGCACAGGTTCAAACCCCACTGCAGTCAGCATGTCGTTGTGTCCCTGGGCAAGACACTTCACCCCAAATTGCTCCTGTGGGGATTGCCCACAGTATTGAGTATGTAAGTCGCTTTGGATAAAAGCGTCTAACAAGTGACATGTAATGTAATGTAATGTAATATTAACTGGCTGTGGAGACGATGGTTTGCGGGTCTGATGTGCTGATGAGGTTGTCAGGGAAGATTAGCCTCTAGAATATTCTTGTCTTTCAACACTACTGGTGTAATCACTGAACTGGCCTGCTGAGCTCATGATGATTATTGAGTGGTGGGATTATCTAAAATGAGTTGGAGGGCTGGGGGCACCATTGACAGTTGAAAGCTACTGAGAGAAAAAAGGGAGACAATCAAGAAGTGTTGTTATCTGGATGTTTGCCTGCTTGTCCATGTAAATTGCAAGGGGTTAGTTTAGACTCAAGGGAAACATCAAGAGGAGTGGACATTTCAGTAAGTCCTCAGTACGGGTGTAGAGTTTTGTGTCAGGTTATCAAAGCTAAAGTTAAAGTAACAGTAGACTATATACCTGTTTAAGATGTAATCCTTAAGATTTGCAGGAAATCCGACCCCATTTTGTTACTATTTTTAAGGTTGGCTTTTTCAGAAAAAGCCATTCAATATATTTACAATGTGTTAGTGCCTGTACTCTGCAATTTGTATTTACTGAAAACACTGTATGAATGTAATCCAGTGTTTTGTGTTCATCTGATTGATAGCAGCCTCACTATTTACTGTTCACTCACTCATGATAAACATTTTCTACTGCTGCTTCACATTCAATATATTCAGCTGGTGGAAACTCTTTTATTTGAAGCAGTGACAGGAAACAAAATGTATTGGTCAGAGCTGACAGCGATCATTCATCAAATCTGCACATGACGACAATAACTGGTTGTGGAGAGATCAAGGTTAAGGTAAATAAACTATTGTTTAGGACATAATTAATATTCGGCATCTAAAACAAAGACAAAGGCCTGTCCACACCATGATCGCTTACTATTATGATATCTACAGTATACATTTAACAATATGAACATTGGCTCCAAGCTCCAGCTGAGCCCCAGAATATGTATTGATGAGCTGTTCCTGCTGTGTTTTGCTCAAAAAAAGAAATTAAGATAAGAATATAAATAATGAGAATAACAAAGTGTTGAAAAGTTTCCGCTGCAGTGTCGCACAGCGTGGGGTCGAAATATGCACAGTATTATAGAGGCGACGAGAGACCGATGCTGTTTATTTCCCTATCTACTTTATTGCTGTTAAAGAAATAGGACCACAATTTATTAATCCACCCTCAAAAACGAATACTCTTTTGTATTTGGATTTTAATTGTCTCTCAGAGTTTGTATCGGTCATAAAATCGCTGTGATCCCAACAACATAATTTCCCACTGTTGTTGTTATAGTTGTAGTGAGGACTCAGCCATCCTCTTGAGCTAAACTATTTTCAGAAATGATATATTTACAGTTATCTTTTTGATGTGGCCAGCCCTTAAGGTTTGAGAGATTGAGGTTGTGGTTGTATAGTCAATAAAAAGGTCTGTGTTGGACGCCAACTCCTGCACTAGCACCTAATATTGGCGTTAGATCTCAATTGTGAGGTCCACTCCCAATCAAGTGAAATCAAATGAAAGAGTGAGACTTAAAGGCAAATATATAGTTCCTGTTATCTTCTCTCTGTTACAGTAACAAAGATGATATGTGACTGTGTGTGTGTATGTGTATTCACAAGCCGAGGCCTGCGGAAATAAGATAAGGTTTCATTATGTCAGTAACAGGACTGAGGGACCCGAGGCACGTGACGGGTACATGTTGGGGACTGAGGGGTGGGATGCTTCACTGAGGCAAAGGGCCCACTGGGACGTGTCCGCAATGCCTCTGTAAGCTGGAGGTATTAACTGCCAATGATAGTTACGCATATAGCCCTCATCCTGATTGGTGATGACAGAAAGGCAGATATAGCTTTGCCTGTGTAACCCAACTCCTCTGGCTGCTGCTATACCCAAGGCCCTGCAATTAGACAAGGAGATGAAGCCCTACAACTCCAGGAACAAATGACAGCAGAGAGTTTGAAAAGCTGACGTACTCAAAGCTACTTCTTCTCTTCGCAGTTCACACAGTGCGCTGCCATCCTACTTATTTTCCTCTCCCTTACTGCAACTCCCGATTGTTTTCTTTCTGCCCGAGCTTTGATACTTTCACTCTCCCTGTGACCTTCAGTGTCAGATCTTAGGAAATCAATGAAGGTGTGCCGTCAATTCAAGCATAACGTGCCCAATAGCCTCAGAGGTGGGGGATGAAAGCAGTTGAAACAATAGGATGTAAAAGAGATTAACGCATCCAATCTTTTGAACAAAAGTGAATAATGATAACATATAAATGATGTACACTATTGTGTGTGAGAGAAGCTACGAAGGAGCCTATGGAAATAAGGATTAAGATGAATGAAGAAGCAGAGATGGGATTTAAGAGGAAGAAAATGAGAGCAAGTGAATGTCCCTGAAATCCTTTTTTTCTCTAAGCAGGATGTGCTTTGATGTTTTATCTATAAAGCGACAAAGGCACAGAAAGCAGAGAGAGTGGGTCTAGCGAATCTACTGTAGGGGGTACAGGCAGCAGCGACAGGAAGAGGGGGTGGGAAGTAGCTGGAGAGGTGGAGAGAAGGACAGATGATACTGTATACCCCACAGAGGGGGAAGCACAAACAGGAAAACTGACAAGGAAAATAGTGAGCAAACTGACTTGCTGAACAGACGGGAGATATGAATGAAACAAGGTTTGCTCTGGGCCTGAGAAGTAGACGGAGAGAGCAAAAGAAAGAGAGAGAAGTGTCCAGTATGGTACTGCAGTGGTGACGATGGCTAATGCAGCATGGTGTGACGTCAGCCTTGCAGCAGAGCTGAGCTCTCAACACTGGCAGGCTAATCTGTCCTCTGTGGCCAGAAATGAATTGCATTGTTATAATTGCAACATGTGTGGCTACAGCATAGTAGCAGTGAGAAGCACCTGCTACTGAATGGCCACTATCAATCAATCTGCCTCTTTCACTTTCTGTTAGTGACCGGGGACTCCCGTTTAATCCCCCACCCCCTCAGTAATATACATGAAAGAAAAATGTTGGTTTTATTAAAGCACTTTAGTGGCATATGACCGGAAGAAGTCTTGAGTGAAAATAATGAGTGTTTGTCTGCCTTTGAAGTGCAGCCCAGCCCAGACAGCGCGAGTAAGCCCAGCGCTGTACTGTAAGCAGAGTATTCCTTCATTATTAAAGAATGTCCACCGTGCTTTAAGCTCCCAGTCTCTCAGGTTACTGTGCAATGTGCCGTAGAGCTGCAGCAGAGCAGATGCACACAAGTAAAACAGCAGGCAGGACAAACAGGTGGCTCAGTATTAGACATCCCAATGCATCTCACTCACAGACGGGACACCAGTTACAGACACTCAGGATATACATATATGTGGGATTTTTTTAATTCTCATCCAACACAAGCACTGTTTAAAAACAATCTCTGTCTACATAAAAACCACAAATCCACAAGAGGCTGAACACACACACCGTCAGCGTGTTGGTGGGTTCTTTGTCGTGGGAGTGTTGGGTAATGAGGCAGTGACCTCTGTGGCGCATTCTGGCTCCTTATATAATGGAAGACTAACTGTACCTTAATATATACTTGTGTAAAAAGTCCTTTTAGAAAGGTTAAACCAACCCTACTTTGTAAATGTCACCTCATTTTGTATGCTTCTCAACGGAGGTATCGGCACAGACTCTGATTTTACAAGCAAAGACTGATCAAAAGCTCAGTTTTCCGTGAGCGCACAAAAGGCAAAATAAAGCCTGGAAAAAGCTACGTGTGTGTGGACTCGTACACACGCTGATTTTCATAGATAAACATGTTTATATTCATACATACAGTTTGTAAATATGAACATGCGCTTTGCCTCCCCCAGTCATGTTCTGTATCCAATCATGCTCATATAGACCATGTGAGAACATGCAGGTCTGAGCAGGGGAGATATAATTAAGCGGCCCCTCACAGAGAGAACAGGGCAGCGTTACACGAGTTTCAGATGACACACGCTTGTGTCCTTTACACACCACTGCATTTAGAGTGCAAGTATTTAGCGCTTCATCCCTGGAATGCATTCATATTTTTAGCCAGTCTTGTATATGTCAAGTTTTTGTTTGATTTCCACTCATGTTAAAGTTAGAGTTCACAGTGTAGATCCTAAAAAGCAGGAATGTTTCATCTGTAAAATTATTTTACATTACTCAAATTCAGATTCAAATTCTAACCCTTAAAAAGCATTGCATTCAAATTCAGCTTTTTCTGTAGAAATAAATGTATAAGAGCGAGGCCACACATAGTTGATATGTAGAGAGGCAGCGTGATCAGAAAGGTTGTGGTCCACTGGGAAATGTGCTGTTTAGTTTCAGATATCTCCATGCTAAGAAGGAGTCTCAAACCATCAACATATTTCATCTAAACACAAGTACTTACAAATGCACTCACACACACTGTAAGATGCCCAGTACTTGACTCTCAACACATCAGTCATGTCATTCAGTAGCCGGGGTTTGGATGTCCACATTATGAGTTATTTGCTTTTCAACTACTGCCTCTTTAATGGGGACACTCAAATCATTCCTCTAGAGTTTCATCACTTCTGTCCTTTTATTTTGGTCCCTCTGCCTCATGTTGGCATAGTCCCGTCTGTCAAGTGTGAAATGCAGAAAATGTGCTCCATCAGCTTTAAGGCATAGCTTTGAGGACAAGCTCTTGTAAGCTGTGGTTCACTCTCACATGTCTCATACCACTTATCACATTGGACTTCAATACTTGTTATACTCAAATGTGTTTTCCAAGACTCAGCTCTTCTAAATCTCCGTACACTTAAAAGAAAGGTTCTTCAACTTGCTCGCTCTCCTTTTTGACGCCACAATCCCTTTAAGCCTTTGGTTCTCGAGTGCAGAAGGACATCACAAATGATACTGGGACAGTCACAGAATAAATTAGGCAGGCAGGGATTTTCTCAGTCGTCCTCCCCCACACCTCTTCCTGGACAGGCTAAAATTAGAGCTGTGAAACTGTGAACCAAGTTCTCACCTGCTCCAGCTGTACAGTCAATCACCAACTAACTTTGACTCCAGCCAACAAAGTCTTTGGGTCTTGATTTAATGCACCATGACTGCAGGTGCAGGGCTCTGCTACAGGTTGACTTTTGGCTAAGCTCTGCCGGACTCAATTACTGTTGCTACGCTTGTCAAGCTTACGGTTGCCTTCACAAGAACGGTTGGTTTTGGCAGCTGAAATGACAACTGCCACTGACCAGGCCCTCAGAAATGGCACAGGGCAGTGAAGTGATTTTGACATAGTGGCATCAGCGATTGTTTCAACTTCCTCTTTAGAAGGAATTACAGTAGTAGTTAGTCAATGACGTGCTTGATTGCTACTGTAAGCTAGTTTGCCGGATATGCTAACATTTGTAGCTAACAATTGAGCAGTTCAAGATTAAAAGGTTTTAATGTCATATGCACATAAACTACAGTGTAGAAATGGAAATGAAAATCGTATGACCCGAGCCAATGATGCAACATATATAATAAATACAAATAAAAAATAGTGCAAGAAGTCTATATACACGTAAATAGAATATGATATATATATAAAGAACAGAATGTAAAATGTAATATTGTACAGCAAAATGAAATTAAACACGGTGTACATGTATTACGCTGATAACTATTTAGATAAATAAGTAAATTGCAAGATGACAAACAGATTAATGTTTATCGAGGCACTGAACAGATTGTTAAATTACACTGTTTAATCCATTTCTTCCATTTTGGCCTATATGTTTTCAAGTTGAAAAGGCCACAAGAGGTTAACGTTCCTTTAAACTCTTCAAATGTCAAGTTTCACTCTTATGCCGCCCGTGCACACTGCTCTGGTGTCTTTTAGAAATCCAAAGGTTAACAGGTCTGCTGTGCCATCTGCTATAAAAGAAAATCCTTCACTTGAAGTATTTAAGGTTTCATACCTCTGAGTTGAAGCGTATTTGACAGACATTGCAGGAGATGATTGGCCGCTTTGTCTTCACCATAGGCGGCCCAAAGGTGTGCGTCATCACAGCCTTCTGGACGGGGTCCATCTGAGAACAGACAACCCAGAGGTCACATCGAAGATTCAGCAACACAGGAGGAGCTCAGAGAGGCTGTCCAGTTATTGTGGATGACAGAGAAATGTTAAAGGAAAGGTGCAGGTGAATGACAGGGGGTGTCGCTGAGGGGGGAGAAAGCTGGGAGATAAAAAAAGAGTAGAGTGAATTGTAGAGGGAGCAGAGATTGATGTGGACAGGAGGGTGTGTGTTATCTCAGTAGAAGCTGCTGCTGCCGAATTCTTTGGCATGCCTAATGACAGACTCCCTATCTCCAAAAATGCGTTCTTTGTTTGCGCTACGAGTCGCTGCTTTTCAAAACATCCTGCTAGAATATTACACAAAACAAGAGAGATATTTTCTGTAAAGTACCTGTGGAAATGTATTTTAGATAAGTAGGGACAGTAGGGTTCTTGCTCTGAGAAAAGCAATCAAATATGGCTGCAGGGTGATTTAATTTAACATTACGAATAATCAGCACATTAAATAATAAAAATACAGAAATAAATATAGAAAAAAGACAAGAATGGTTGTACATGAAGTATGCTGAAAAACAACAACTGAGATTTGTAACATTTATAGATACATTTGAGATGTATTACACTTACAATACATATTGGGTATACATATTAATTTAACAGATTTGAAATGAGTAAATGATGAGAAATGTATCCTATTTATCATAAGTAAATCCAATTATAGTATTAAAACAATCATACAAATCTATTAAAATAGATATAACCGAACAAATGGACATTTAAATGTTAAGTAAGATTACAAACAGTATACTCTAAACACTTTATATTTACATATGAAAAACAATGGGATTAAAGACTTGGGTTTCTCCCTCAAAATTCCAAATTTAAACATCTGACTCTTTTCCTTAAATAAACCGACCAACCCTGTATTTTTCGGATCAAGCACAGATACTGCATTTGCCACATCACTCTGAAGTGTTACCCCATTTCTAGAGGACTTGAAGGGACACGTGTGAGCTCTCTGACCCTTCGGCAGGGTTAAAAAACCACAGCTCTGGGTGTTGCCCTCATTAAGCAGCCAAAAGTACTTTGTGGTTTTACTTAGCCTCTCATCTCTTGCTCACTGTGCTGACTGTGAACGTCTGCTGCCAAATGAGAGACTGTTTACGTTCTCAAGCTCCAGGCACAGGGGGAATAGTATAATTGGTCTGAAAACTTAAACCCTGTTTGAATGCATTGTTCGGAATATTTATAGAGTTCACTCTCCTGCCTCGAACTCATGCCTCCAGTTCACCTATCTCTTGTTTTGTGCTTGTATGTTAAGACCTGTAACACCTCCAAATTGGTTTGTTTACATCTGGGGCAACATTGTGTGTGGTTGAGTGTATGACAGCCTTTGTGTGTATCTGAGTGAATTCTGTATGTGTGTTTCCATCCACCTGTTTTTAATGAGCACATTGCAAAAAAAGGTTTTAACGCTTGGCTGAGGGGGAAAAGTTGTTGTTTCGATAAAAGCAAAATACAGCAAAGTGCAAAGGAAACACATCTAGTGAATTAATGATGACATACATTGAGCATGGGACTTCCACATCCACTAAATCTTCTGCTCTGCTGAAGAGTCAAAAATAGCCTGAATGCTTCACACAAATCAGATGTTACCGTCCTCACATTAATACATGAAATAAACAAAAATGACATGGTTCTCCCTAAAATTACGATAGCAGTTGGCATGTTCTGTCTAAATGCACCAACGACTGTTTACCTCGTTTAACCAACTTTGCATTTTCTTTTTCCAATTTTTGAATGGAAACTCGTCTAATGTATCCCAATTTGCGCGCTAACTAGGTTTTCAGTGTCATGGGAGGAGTAATGATTGATGAAGAATGAGTTAGTATAATGAAAAAGAAAGCAGAGCCTCTGATCACAGTTCCTTTCTGCCATTCTTTAACCACCTGTTCTCGTCATGATCTCTTTCTTAACACCTGTCCCTACTGCAATACCCTCATTAACCTATTAGTCTGCTTTCTGTCTCCTCTTTCTCTTTTTCCTACCTCAAACAGTGGAGATTTTGTAGCAGCTACAGTAGCTTACACTGTGTGTCATATTGATACATGTGGCTCTCTTCAGCTCCATTCCTAAATATCAAATGTACACTGTATAGTGTGAAGAGTAAGATCATTCAAGTATTACTAAGATTTTAGTCTTGATAGATTTGGAGGTAGCAACTAATGTATTTTTGTATTACAGGTTCCATTTTTCTGTTGAAATCGTATGTTATTGACCACAGGCTGTAGCCATCACATTCAGAGTCTCCACAATGGAAAAGCAACTTATTTAACTGTTAACAACACACAGTTTGTATAAAGACAACTAAAGATGACAGGAAGCTTCTTAATCTGGTGCTCTTTGACAGCTAGTTGCCGTTAGGGAAACAACTGAACCAATCAGAGCTTTGCAGGGAGAATAAGGATTGGGGTCGACATCTGCGCCAGAGCCAGGAAAGTGTTGACAAGGCTCCAGATCCATGCAGTTATACAGGCTCATTTTAGTAAACTTAAAGTTATATCAGCTCTTAAATCAATAATATAACTTCACTCAACATGAAAATTGTAAACTGCTCCCGGCAAGCTGTCCTGCAGCTTCTGTGTCAGCTGAAAATGATGTGGGACAGATATATTGCCTGCTTCTGATTGGTTCGGGGGAAAACTAACATCCTCTCCCTCACAGAAAACTGCCGCTATGTATTATTATTATTGCAGAAGGGGTGTATAAATGCAAACTGGATTATAGAGAAACACAGAATTACAATTGTAGTCTGTTTAACAGGTTAGATGCCCATTGTATTTGACAAGGTAACAATTAACTATTGATCTTATCATGTACTACTGAACACGTCCGATATGTGCATACATTGTTTCCTATCAGTTCATTGTCTATTGATATTCAATGTGAAGGGTTGGTAGAATCAATATAAACTTAAACCATAAACAATATCAAAAAGAGCTTTGATATATTGAAAGTAATAATAATTATAACTTTGAAATAATATTTATTTTCCACACTGAGGAACTATAGATTGTACAGAAAATGCATTTCTCTCTGGAGCAAAATCTCTGCTGTACTGCACAGCTTTTGTCTCAATGCAAGAAGGTGAGACCTGCAGTATCCTCCTGAGAATCTTAATTATTTGGAAATTAGCTGTATTCCTGGTAAACTACGCCTTATATAAACCTCTAAATAACTTGCATAACTCCACACTCCACAGAATGTGCATACCCCAACTGAAGCATAATACAGAAATATATTTAGGTAGTTTGTCCTTCTCTGTGTCCTTTAAGACTTTAAAGACGTGCTGTCCACTTTTTAAATTAAAACTTGCTGATCTACGGCGTTCTATCACTGGATGACAGCTGTGTTTTAGACTTGTTTACATTTTTACTGTGCTGACAGAGAGTGATTTGAATTTAGGTGGTCTGGCATTAGTGGCCACACTCATGTCCTCGCTGAGGCAGGATGAATGATTGACCTGCTGAAGGGTCATTTTGCCCGAGTGCAGATAAGCCTGATGATAATTTGTGTGTGTGTGTGTGTGTGTGTGTGTGTGTGTGTGTGTGTGTGTGTGTGTTTGTGTGGATGTGTTGCATGTGCATCCCTGTTTTCCGCCACGCTGACCTTCACATGGAACCCAATCTAGAAATGAGAGGAAGCTGCAGAAAATGCTGACTGGAGAATCCAGCCCTGTGCCTCTTATACAATTGATTAGCTGTAATTCATTTTATTGCAGTAAAACAGTCACCAGGGCATTTTCTCAATTATGCTGAAACTCACTCTGCGGAATAAAAAGTAAACAGCTGTCACCTTATCATTTTAGATTATACAGTATAAATCCTCAACACTTTATCACTTGGAGGCAACGCTCCAAAACCACAACAGAATACCGGCTCTGTCTTATGTTAAGTGAAACAAGACAAATATCAGAGGTGTGTTAACGCTCGTGTGCAGGTAAGGCTGTGAGCACTCACTGTATTAAAGTTGTGGAAGAGGCCGATGCTGGCGGGGTGAGGCGACTCCAGGGGGAACTGGAGGAAGTGCTTCATGTCCAGCGGGGTCGGGAAGACAGAGGGGCTCCTGAGGAAGGCAGGGACCGGCCCCGGGCGGTTTACACTTCCTGTGGTAGAAACAGGGAAATAAGAGAATACAAAATTAGAAAACAATAAAGCCCTATTAGTCATTTATACCAAGTGTTGCTCTGACAGACGAGAATCACAAACTGAAACGTGTGCACAAGGTTTCTTGGTGAAAATGTTTTCTCAAAGGACTAAATGCACATACGCTTTCTTGTCGATATTTAGATACCAACTGCGAAAAAATGAGAAAATCGTGTTGGTGAACACGAATCAATAGATTACATTTTGTGACTATAACACGAAATGCCGTGAGACGGGGTTGTAGATACAGCTCTCATAACAGGTAATGGGGACACAGATGGCTCTGGCCTGGCTACAGTACTGTATGTCCAAAAGGTAACAAAATATGCCTACCGGGACCTCTAAAGGTCACTTATTAACAAGTAATATCTTGTATGTTTATTCCGTACTATAAACGTAAGTGTAAAATTATACGTTGTGGTTTCACAGGGTGTTTCCAGGATTTCTTGGCCGGGAGCAATACGTTCCCACAGTACATTTAGATAGAGCCAGGCTAGCTGTTTCCCCCCACTAGTTATGCTAAGCTAAGCTAACCAGCTGCTGGTTACATTACTGTTCGAACATAAGAGTTGTATTGAATTTCTCATCCACTCTCGATAGAGTTATACTAAATCTCAAACTATTTATTTAAAGCTAAGTATTATATTATAAGTACCTGCTAATCTCATATTCCCCTTTTTCTCATTGCAAACCCTCATCTTCTGCGTCATTTTCCCCTATTGAGCCCCGCTAACCACCCACACTTCTCCTCTCTCGGCTTCTCGCTCTCACTCTTCCCTCAGCAGTAGCTCAGCAGCGGTGAATGCCTGCACTTGAGGAGTCTTCTGTGATGGGCAGGGGGGCTAAGCTCCTTAAGCCTCGCAGCTGGGGTGCTGCAGATATCTGCCTTTTCTCCATTTCTGCCTGTCTCTCTCTCGCCAAGCACAGTATTCTATCCCCATTTCATGGTCCCATACTCTGTCTGCCTGCCTCTGTATCGCTCATCTCTACTTCTCACTCCAGCACTAGTCCTTCTAGCTGTTTTGTTTCTTCCCCCTCATCCTCTTTCTATTTTGCTCCCTCTCAACTTCTGCTTGCCATTGTTCTTCTTCGATTTAGTGTTAAAATAAAAACAGCAGGGTGCTTCAAACCCAATTTTTCTATACAGACAGAATTTGTATAATCTTTTCCCCTGAGATTAGATGCAGTAGACATCTTTTATTGTCACTGCTTTGTGATGACTACTTGCCAATTTCGTTACATTTGAAAAGAAAAACTGGTCACTTGTCGAAACAAAGGGAAGAAAAGGCTATTTTAGTGACAGCAGAGGAGGCTCCTTTCACTGACAGCAGGGGAGACGTAAAGAATGTGCTGTCAGCATCAGAAATAGATGGAGGGGAAAGTCTCTCCCTCCTCAGACTGCTTTAGGCCTTGGGAGGCTGTGGCAGCGGAAGCTAAGCTGTAGCAACTGTCACTGCTGCTTTTGCATATGCTGCATGAGAAGTATGTAATCTCGGAAGCAAAACAAGATATTAGAGTGGAGGTCACGGTATAAGTGTCCTTCAGGCATCCCATGGACCCCCACAGCTCACATGGCGGCCATTATCACCTCTGTAAACCAAGCACAGCAAGGTCTGTGCTGAGCAAAATAAAGCGGTAATAACACACCTCCTGCATGTTCACACCAGCGTACGAACATGCAGGAATGAGTGAACGCTCAACACCAGATATCCCAAAAGAATGTAAGCTTAAGTGGTACTACACTTTAATGATGCCACAAAGTTTGACGTATTTGTTATTCATGTGGTCAAAAAAGTCAATATTAAAGGATGGTGATATTCTTCAGTATATTTGAAGACATAAAATCCCATTAAAAAAAGCCAAACTGACCAAGCCCCTGCCATTTTGTTCCTACTGATCAAACAAAAAAACGGATAAAAACACGACACAGATAAAGACTTTAATTTTTAAATGATGTAGAGTTTTCTTGAAAAGATGGACACTGTTTGTAGAAGCAGGAGTAAATTATGATTCTGTTGGGGAACATTCTCCGCCAACGATGAATGCACATTTTGTGGGCTACTGAGTACGGTGTATGTGGGATTGACTCAAAATCAATAACCCATATTAACGGTAGTAGAGAAACATTTCATCCAGTCCAACGGTGTGTTTCAATAGTATTTGACCACAGTGGAGCTCTACAGCACAAACGGTATGAACTAGATAATCAGGCTTTATCTACACAGTTGCTTATTAGTAGGATCAATGGTTTTGGTCTTCTCGTGGGATTTGTGAAGAAAAATATAGAATATTACCAGACCTCTCCTTTTACATTTCTAAAATTCTTTATGCACCTAATTATTTTTTTTCAAGCTATAAGCAATAAAGGAGAAGGATAAATTGTCCAAGAGGCAATTAAACATTTGGCTAACAAAGCATATAGTGGGACAATAGTGTTTCAGCTTGATGGATCGGCTGAGAGGTCTCATCAATGTGTGTCTAAGGTTAGTGAAGCGTATTCCCGGCAGCTTCTGGTAAATCCGCAGCTCATTTTACGCCACATTACAATTTAAAGGTCAAAGCGTGTCTGTCGCTTATAAATCTGCATTTGCTGTGCAGACGCTCACAATAGAGTAATGTATTTAATGCTGGCACACAGTCTTTTCAGGGTCAAATTATGCACAGCAGCTCGATGCAGTGTGAGTGTAGTGGCAGCATCCCCCGACCTACCCTCCTCGTGAGTGATTTACAATGACATCAGATAAGTGAAAGCCACGACTCTTAAACAGCATCCACGCAGAGAGGGTCTGCATTGATTGGACACATTCTGAGGTGTGTTAAAGTGTTAAAGTGCTGCCAAACTCTATAAATCCAGCCTTCACCATCTATCTACACTGCAATGAACAGACAGGGCTGTCTCACCCAGACCCTCATCTTACTGACTTTTTTTTTTCTAATGCAAATGTTTGGGCAAGAAAAAGATCAATGCCTGTGTAATAGCTTATTGAATTTGTGTGTAGATTGTGAGCAAGAGGTAGTAGGACAGAAATGAAGAGACGCAGAGAGGGGGGACAAAAGAAAACAGACAAACAGAGACTCAATCTGATTGTCACAGTAGATTTCACAAACCCTGACGTGTGCACACAGAGGCATGCACACACCAATATGCTGTGACTAAGGCCTCTCAAATTGGCAATTCATTTAGCCAATTTAGGTTTAATCATCACAGAGGTAATGTCAATGTCAGTGAGGTTCCTGGAGCCTCTCTGTATTCTCTGCCTGCCACCATCTTTGTGCTCCATGATGGGACAGGAGACTGGGTGACATGCTGTCTGACAGAATGAAGTCTGACGAGAGGCAGAAGCACTGCAGGGTCCAACCGAAAAAAGATATTGAAATAAAAAAAGAAAAGAAAGCCAGCCACCTTTTTAGTTCCAGCTCAACACTCGAAGCTGGCTTGGCACACGATGCCAGTCGCCTCACATCTGCATCTCAATGGACTGCTGTGCTCACAAGACTCTGAAATGTGCTTCTGTGCTAGATTGCCCAGCCTCCCCTGACAAAACCCATTGACTGGAGATATAAAACCAAACACAAAGACAATTCTTGAGGCAGCTCGTCTGTTCACCTAAAAACCAACGGATGTGCTGTGTTCTTGTTCGTCTTTGCCCTAGGTTTTGTGTACAAGGCTATGTGAAAAAGAGCGGATCCATCATTAGGCAGCAGATGACACCATTAGTATGTTGACGATCGTCGTCTGTTCAAGTGATTTATGACTTCAATTTGTTGTTATGTGACAGGAATGCTTTGGCACCAGGTGACATTTTTAACCAGTTCTCTGCGAGATAAACATTTTAAATGATTTGTCACATCTGCTATTTCCCATGTGGTGTAAATGTAATGGAACTGTGTTAGGTGGTCTAACCTTTAAAGACACAGAGTGCTAACTTTGCGGTGATGCAGAGGGAAGATGGCTCTGTCTCAGTGTCGCATACAGCTGCTGTGAAGGACTGAGCATAAAATCCAATTTACTGCAGCTCAGTTTACCCTCAAGTCAAAAGCAGCTATTTCAAACTAAGCCGGGGACAGGCGACAAAACACACACACACACACACACACACATACACACACACACACACACACACACACACACAAACCTTTGTAGTCTAGAATGAACGAAGCTCTAAATGAACTAACGTATAGGCTCAATGCTGATTAATGTTGTGTTTGTCTGTGTGAGATCTGGACAGTGAGGAGGGAACACGATGAAGAGGAGAGCTGAGTGCTGGCGGTGAAGGAGAACACAGTTGATTTCAGTCTGCACTTTGTTTTAATGATAGATGCTCTGCGCCCCAGTGGCCAGGCTTAAATGCCACCTCCAAGAGAACTCTCAGAAGAGCTCTTTCACTGGAAGTGTGTGTGTGTGTGTGTGTGTGTGTGTGTGTGTGTGTGTGTGTGTGTGTGTGTGTGTGTGTGTGTGTGTTGTGTGTGTGTGTGTGTGTGTGTGTGTGTGTGTGTGTGTGTGTGTGTGTGTGTGTGTGTGTGTGTGTGTGTGTGTGTGTGTGTGTGTGTGTGTGTGTGTGTGTGTGTGTGTGTGTGTGTGTTTTTATGCAGTGCTCTTGAGATCAGCCAGTCCTTCTGCAGCCTCACTCTGATTTAATGCAGTATTTGTAACTAATGAAGACTTTAGTTTTCCCCAACAGATTTGCACTGCTCTCATTAAAATGAAAATCATTATGTAATGATGGAAGTACGTTGCTGTGTTTAGACTATTCCTGGCTAACAATTTCTCATGAAAAATTCTGTCTGTCTTTCCGTAGTGCCAGATAATGAATCATCACAAAGAGGTCAAAACTCCCTGATTGGCAAAGAGGAGCTTTGAGAGAGAAGATGATGGCAGTGGCAACCGGAGAGAGTCGGTTGAGCGAGGAAAAGAGGTCTGGACGACGGGGGTAGATGAGGTGGAAAGAGAAGGAAAGCA